GTTAAAATGTAGAGGAGATAAGGCAATGAATGAATGAATTAGCAAATGGCGTCAATTTAATTTTTATTTATTATATTTATTTTTTTATAATCAAAATAACAGAGTTGTTAAAAGATACTTTTTAATTGGATCTAGATACAGATACATCGTCTAAAATAATATCTAGATACAGATATTTTAATAAAAAATTTATCTAGGTACAGATACCACATTTTTATATCTAGATACAGGAACTAGATACTCGTATCTAGATCCTTTAACAACTCTGCAAAATAATGAATAGAAATGGAAATATCATTTGAATGGGGTTTGATACCGGAATATTGAAGGGGCTAGTGCCAAAAAAATTATGTGCAAATACACTATTAACTATTATATTGAAGTATTTTAGGATCGCTTTATGATGGACTTTGTCAGAATTACATTTTTATAAATTTGAATTTTCACTTTATAACTTTTTTTTCTTAAAGATTTTAATTATTACCTAGATTTTTAACAAATAAATTATTATTGATTTTTAATCGTATAATTGCGAAATTTTTAAATATTTTGGCCTCAAACTTTCGCAATTAAACGGTTTTGACTCGAACCTACTGGACTCTACAATTCTGATGGTAAGCGTCCCGATGGCTCTACCATGATCCTTTGAAAGAGGGGGGAATTCCTAACCTGGGATTTCTCATGCATCGATCCCCTTGCCCCTTCCAATATAAATAGAGATGCTCTAGTAGACGCCGAGACGAATAAACTCGCTAAATATTCGCCATCGCTTCCGGCCAATTACACATTCCTACCACTAATCGCCACAACTCTAACGTCGTTCGGCTCTCATGCCCTTGCCTTCTTTAAAGAGCTGGGGAAACGGATCTCTACTAGGACCGAAGATCCCAACGAGGGTTACTACCTACGCCAAAGATTAGCCCTCAATATAATAAAATCCAATTACCTCAGCTTCATATTCTCAATGACTGATACCCCCTAATCACAGAATCGGCGATGAGAAGAGCAATTAAGAACAAGAGAGGGATATTCAGATGGAAGTCAACAAAAGAACCAAACCTTAATCACAGAATCGGCGATGAGAAAAGCAATTAAGAACAAGAGAGGAATATTCAGATGGAAGAAGAAAAACTGAAGGGCAAACTATGAATACTCATAATTCTTTTAAATCATATGCTCAATTTATTATATTAATTTACTATATATTTATTTATATTATTTAAATATATTATTATTTATCCTTAAAAGATATACTAACAAATGTGATTATTTTTTATATTTTACAGATTTATGATTTGAGCATCAATTATAAATCATAGGTAATAATTAAAATCTTTAGGATATGTTATAAAAATATTTTATCATCTATATATATTTTCAGCATATAAAGCAACAAACTTTATAATAAATACAATTTTTAGTTAATGTAACAACTATATATTTAAATTTGAATATAAAAAACATAAATTTTAAAAATTTATCTAGTATGTTTAAACATATGAATTTGATTTTTCTCACGTAAATATCAAGAATTTTTACCTAAAAAGTCGATAAGAAATTTATAATATAATTTATTTTTGATTAATATATTTTTTTTCCTTTGTATTTCTTTGAATAATTTGTTTTTATGAATTAAATAAATTAATATAGTTCCATTAATCTGGTTAACTAGTAGATATTTAAAACAAATATGTAAGTATATCTATAAAATAATCTTATTTTGAATTTTTTTTTAAATATATATTATTTAAAATATTATAATGATGTAATCACTAGATGGCGTTTAAATTTATTATTATAAATAGATTTAAAAAAGTAAAATATATAAATATATCTAAAATCGCATATGATTTCATATTATAAGTTGCCAAAATTTAATAAATAAAATATAAATCAACATAGTTTTAACCTTTAGATCGCACTTTGACATTATAATCTTATAATCTTTATATTATATACTTTTGAGCAAAATAGGAATAGGGTCAAAATTATTTTATTCTTGGGAGGTGGGGGGGGGGGGGCCACTTATAGTATAAATTAAATATGATGAATTAAATACTTTTTTTAGCAAAAAATATAAATATTAAAAAGTGTTACATTAATTAATGGAATATGTTAAAATGATAGTCAGTGCTCTAAACTAAGTATTCATTCTTTGCATGTACTAAAATTATTGATCAATGTTTTATTTAACGAATATTGTGTATTTTCTTCTAAATAAATCTCTTGTTACATGTCCTAAATTAATGAATCCATTCAATATGGCACAAAGTAACCGAATTGGGATATATTAATTATAAAATATTAAATGAAATTATCGTTAAACCTTAATTAAATTTCCTAAAAAGCTTGGAAATAAATATGAATAGACTAATGTACCCTGGTCCATAAGCCCTTTTGTTTTTCCTAGGTTTAAGATTTTATCATTACTGTAAAAATCTTCGATAAAATAAAATAAAAAAACTAGATTATAAAAATGTATAGTGAAATTAAAATATTTAATAAATCGAATTGAACAAATGGGAGCTAAAATAAAGCAATTTAAACCTAAATCCAAGCATAGTGAATTTATTTAGCTGTCAAAATTTTATTTAAGTCTAATCAGTTAGAGAAAAAAACTGATTATTGAAAGCGTAAAAAGAGCACGTGCACATTATAAATCTCCGGAAAAATTGTAATTAACTTATCACGATTTTGCCTAACATGAGAGCCTAGAGGCCAAAGTATCCAACATCTTTTGGACGGATTTCGAAAACATCCGCGAAAAGCCACTTAATGCTATTTATTCAATTAGAATTCATGCTCAAAATAAGCATTCTATTATATTACTAATAGGAGAAAATTCAATCCATACGTTATTTTATTTTATAATAAACATTTAATATCTTGAAAAATCGTTATCTCGTTCCGCTATTTTTATAGAAAAATAAAAGTTTTAAAGTATTTGTCAGTAATATCAGACTATCTTAAAAGAACCCTGATATTTCCAGCGAGGGTTATATTATGAGTTTGTATGTGAAAAGTGTTGCATGTGCGCTATTGTACGCTATTATTTTATTACTTACTAAAATAATTTATATTTAAAATGTCAGTTAAACTATTATATACTTAAATAATTTATATTTAAAAGTTCAGTTGTATATATCTTAAGGCAACAGAATATATATATAAACAAATATATATTTTTATTTTAATCACTTATTTTTCTTATATGATAATAACTTGTATTTTCTTTCTTTTTAAATTATATAAATAAAATACCAATTTACTCAAGCCTTATATATTCTCTTTCATTATGGTGGAGTAATACTTTTAAATAAAGACGATATCTTTAAATTATTCTAAATTGAACTTTTCCACCATTGCTCAATAATATATTTAAATTATTCTAAATTGAACTTTTCTCCTTGTTCAATAAAAAGGTTAATGTAACTCTGCTTTGCAGATGAATATTGTTTAATAATGTTACATATATATCGATGATATTGGATCTATAATACCCAGATGTTCAATTAGATTATATCAGAATTTTAAAAATCAACATTTCAAATTAATTGTTATCTTACCAATCATTATTCAGAAATTTGTTTAAAAAAATTATGTATAAATTGTTAATTTTAATAGAATGAAATGTAATGGTTAGATTTTGATTCGTAACGTGAATATTTATGTTTACGAAATGATATATTTTAGAGTAGAAGCAGAGATATTATATGCTATCATAACATATGATAATTTATATCCACATTATATAGTTTGGAATATCAAAACAAGCAAAAAGCCCTGGTGATTGAAAAATATATTTAACTTGATTTTGAAAGGATGATAAATTTGAAAAAGATATTTATTAGAGCTAAAGCAAAAAATATAGACAATCTCTTATAACGTTCATATTAAAATTTTTCTTCTTCAAACATAATGTTAACATGAATGATGATATTTAAAAATTTCCTTTCATTTTAAATTGTTTTACTAGAATAGTAAAAAAAAAAATCCTCTCCGGTGCTATGGGCCTAAATGAAAATCTCTTAAACTAAACAGCAATTTAGCATGATTTATTTTTCAAAATATTAAATGAATGTTGTGGAATAGTTTTGAAAAATAATAAGCTTTTTTTCTAACAATAATATATATTTTTAGGAAATTTTGCCATGAAATATTTAGCCTAATATAATTTTTATTAGAAAATAACCTAGAAATAGTTATAATTTTATTTCATTTGAAGATTTATAATTTGTAGATAATATTTGATTTTAATAAAATGGCTATTAATGTTTGGGTAATTTATAAATGTGTCGTCGAATTTAAAACTCTTTTCTTGTATAAAGTAAAATATTTAATATTATCTGACAAAATATTCATAAATTTTTATCAGCGGGCCGAACCAAACCGGGAAATCATTATAACTTCCTGAACCACAATCATAACGGAATCGTAAGAAAATTTTTTTAAAAAAAGAACCTAAATGATTTAAATACTTTCCGGTTCATAACGGTTTTTAAAAATTTTATATACTTTATTTGAGTAGAAATTTGTAAGTTATAATTATTTTAATAAAATATAATTTAATTTAAACTAAAAACCTGAATTGTAACCAAGACGTTAATTTTGAAGGCTCGACACCCAGATTATAATTAATCTATATATAATAACCTATGTTATCTAACGGTAAGATGACTGTCAATATGATTGGTCTATGACACATTTTTTATTTTACGCTATAATTTCCTGAAATTAATGGCTAAAAAAGGAAAGTTGACAGGCATATAAGATAACCACAATAAAAAAATATATATATCTTTTTAATAGGGTGAAAGGTTCTGAGATTAATTTTATTCAACGTTAATTAAAAATAATCCGTAAACGCAAATCTAAAATTTGATCTTTAAATTTCCCTAATTTTTATTTGACTTAAGAATTATAGTATAATAAAATATTATTTTCAAATTTACAATAAAAAAAAATTCTATATAATTTAAGAATTATTCGATCTGGTTTTTTTTTTCAAATCTAATAAAATCTAGAAAATTTGTATAATAAATTTGATTGGTCTCTTAATAGGTAACAAGTTTGATTGGTTCATTAGATCACACATGTTATAATGGTTAAAAATGGCAGGCCCACGTCTTCGAAAGATTTTAAATCTGAAGTCTAGCATTAAAAATGGATGGAACCCGTAACCATTTGTCCAAATATACGACCCAATAACGTTCCCCTAAACAGCTGACTATCCCAAATGGAAACTTGTAAACATTATCGTATTTGCGGTGCTCTTGTTGCGACAGTGGATATAAATTATCATTATTATCATGCGAATTGAAAATTTGGCTCTCTAATTCAGAAACACACTCTAAATCGTTTTTAGCTTGTACCGGCGTAGCTTGAGAAGTGTGAGCGATGGTTATATGCAATGAAGTGGAATTATGTGCGAAATTGGGAGAAGTTTTCTGCGAAATACCTTGATAATTATTTTGACTATGGTGGATATAATTTGGGGGTTTCATTTCGTTGATGGAGAAGTTAGTTGGGACAAATGTCGGTAAAGGTGATGCCATAGGATTCAAAATATATTTGGGGATTTTGGAACGTTTCAATATAAAAGGAAATCGCTCTGAACCAGAATTAATCTCTATATTGTCGCCATAAGTGCGTCTTCCATTTCCATTGATCTGTCGCTCTGATAAATGATCCGAGTTTTCAAAACTTTGATGGCCTTCTGAATTTTTATCTAGTAAAACTCTAGCAGCTATAACATTATCAGTGTAGATAAAACCTACGATAATGAGCTCGTAAATTTTCCCTATTCTATGCATGTGAGCTGAGTGGTATTTTAAAGTTTCATTCCAAAAATCTTTCGAATAATGAGATGTAGAATGAAGACCCCTATTCTTCTTCAGCATCGAAGCTGTGTAGATATGTTTGAGCTTTCTCATAAGTAGTACGTTATGTTGATCAGAATTTTTTTTCTCCCCATAATTTACTAGATTTTATATGTAATATAATTAGGCTCTTCTTTATTAATAAAAATTTGATTTATAAATTATGATTAAATGCATAATTATAATAAGGCCAATTAATTAACTCGATATTTTTTGTGCCCTGTATGTAATATATTTACATGAGACCTATAAAAATCAATTTAGCCTGAGCGTGCGTGTTTCTCCGTGGTAAAAAAAATTAGACTCGGTGTAAGCCTGTTATTTAATTTTTAAAGTTTCGGTTATTTATATATAGTCTAGAGTGTAGACAAAAGGATTAAACCTCCCACCCCCTAAAACCCCCGAAAACAATTCATTTAAATTCCTTAATCTATGAGACCGAAAAATGCTTTATTACCACTCAGACTCATAGCCCAGGAATGGGAGCCGGGAAACCAGCCCCTCCCCCAAAAAAAAAATCCCCGCTTCCCAAACCTGAACCCTCGATAAATGCCAAAAATGCCACTCAATAATTTTTCTACCACTTAAATTTTAAGCACTCCTTTATAAAACAGAATAAGCATAAAAAATAAAAATAGAATGTTTGTTAATTAATTATTTCCCATTATTAAAAAAAATAAGAGACCAGCATGGCCGGCATTTAAGCCCAGGTACACTGGCCGGGCCGTATCCTAATTTTTTTTTAATATACCCGGCTTCGGGACGAATGTTTTAAAGAGCCATTATTATCTATAAAAATATTAAAAAATATATATATTTTTAAAAAATCCGGGTCAGGCCTGAAAATATAAAACCCAGGCCAGCCAAATTTTTTAAAAATCCGAGCCAAATAGTACCCCTGGTAGGTCTCTGAAAAAGATAAACATAATGGATTTGGATTTTATCTATAAACATAAATGATTCTAAAATATAACTCTTTTAAAAATTTGATATTTTAAAAAGGATGAAATATTGGCCCAATCCAATAAAAAAAACTACCTTCTCATACACACAACAAAAATAAAAGTAAGAAATAACGTTTCTATAATTGTTTCAAATTTTAGAGACATGCCATTTTTGGTTATCATATTTGTGCCTATAAAATAGGGTGTTCTCAAGTTGTAAAAGCCCTATTCCTTATTTACCATTTGATAGCAATCTTGACATATAAATATTTTTTCTAATTTAGTTTTCAGACACATAATCCTAAAATGAAGGAACGATACAAATATTTACCATTTTCAAAAATTTTAATTTTGTTAAAATTGAAATAACTTAAATTTTTTATTATTATTCTTCATATTCAATTCAAATAATTTTGTTTTTCATATTCATAAATTTAGAATCAAATCAAATAATTTTTGATAAGCATACCTAGCTAACGCCATGTCATTGTTAGATTTATTTTCATAATTTACCCTTATTTAAAAGAGATGGGAAAATATCTCAAAATTATTATTATTTTTAGTTGTATTATGATTTGTATGTATTTATAAAATTATATAATATATTTTTTTTATCTTATACATAATTTTTTATTACCAAAATATGGCAAATATTTTATGAAAAATTTGGATTAATTTAAAAGAAAGAGTAAATATTTGTATAGAAAATATTAACTTATTTATTTTTTCAAAATGGTAAAATAAAAATCAATCTCAGGTAAAAGGAGGATTTCATTGAGATCTGGGAAAACTAAACTAGTTACATGGCAATTTGGGTTGATTGTAACATTTTAAACAAAGATCCATGATTACTATTAATTTGAGAAATTTATTTACCTAAAAAAAATGATAGTATAAGAGGTCTAGGGTCCCATTAGTAATAACATTGGGTTAAAGTGAGAAATCATAATAAAAAAAATGCATAATATAATTTTATTACAAATGAGCTGATTCTGATAAGCTGCAAATTCTCTAAGCTTTAAAAGCTGCTTAAATATAGAATGTGTTGCCAATTTGTCAAGAATTTGAGATTCTTTATGGAGAAAATATCCATGATATAATATAAGTGGTTTTAGTGTTTTATTGTAAGAAGATAAAAATATGGATTTATCTCCCAAATTTATCTCATCAGATTCCAAGATTTCAATCTTTAAACAAGGAATTATCAAACATTTATTATTATAAAAGGTTTGATTTAGAATCTTAAAAATTTGGAGATTTTTTTCTGTGAAATCTTTAAAAGTTGGTAGGATTGTTATAAGCAATATTTTTGAACTATTAAGATTATATTTAAATGTACAAATTGATGTATTAATAAATGTGTTTAGTAACTCAATATCACTTATAATTTTATTTTCAATTTCATCTCCAAAGCATTTTTTTCTTTTACAAGAATATTTTTGCAACAATATATTATCTAATTGACTAACAGCAATCTTAACAAAATTAAGTTCCTTAGATACTTCTGCATTTAAATCAGCTACGAAATTTAATTTATCTTCGTTTATTAATTTTTCAATAATATATTTCCAGAGATTAGGTATATTTTGTCCTTTACACAATAAAATTTTATCCTTTAATGAATTAATAAAATTGTAATTAATATAAATTAAAACATTGGATGAATTAAAAAAATTCGTAATAGCCTGAAATTGAAGCATGTGAGTGTGACAACCGCGTAAAATATTTATAAAACATCGAAAATAATTCGATTGTTTTTCTCGTTGACTTTGTTTGTATCTGTATAAAGTTATAAAAATTCTCTAATTACATCATAATTATGGTGTTATTTATTTGAGATATAATAGAGGGATAGCAATATCTGAATATTGTAACAACCGAAATATATGTAACCTCTCAAATTTCGTATAATTTTGATAAAATGACAGCTGACAAATCGACAATCTTTATATTTTAGCATAACATCAGTAAACATGTACAAGAAAAAAACCCGAGCAAAGAAATTTAAATATAATGTGAATAAGAAAAAACAGTGGAAGAAATCTAAGAAGTTACCAGCAATTGGAATGTAAAAAAACTAAAATTACATTTTTATTTAGAAAAATTTTATGATTAATATATTATGTTTTCATAATAGGAAGGAACTTAAAGAAACATGGAACAAGCATATGACTGTTAAACAAAATTTTAGAACTTTTGGACTTTGTTTTGATCCTAATTCTATCACATCTAAAGACAAATCTATTAATAAAGTAAATTACATTTTATGTTTTCTTGTTAAAAGTGTTTATAGGATAATACTGAAGTAATGGAAATTGTTGAATCAAAAAAGACAATGGCTAAACGTATTATAAAAAAAATCCTATTTATTATTTATACATTTTCTTAGATCTTGAGAAGTTAGCAGAAGAAAATGCACCAGTAAAGACTGGGATTATAAATAATCTCAGTGTAGATAATATAGAATTTTGCAAATATATGATATCTAAATATTCTGAAGACTATAAAGTAACTACTAAAATTGATCATCATATATAGAGTTTGAAATTAGTTAAAATATATGTTAGGGCCATATTTATATGAAGAGGAATATGTTTTTATATATATCTACTAATTTTTAAAAAAACTAATTATTTTTCACAAGTAATTTTGAAAATACCAACAAATTGAATTATCTAAAATAATATTTAGAAAAAATTATTTTAATTTTATGAGAATTGTTGGGCAATGAAATTTTATTAAGGCTTATTTGGGTCCTGTTAAAAATTGATCTGTACTGGCAGGGCCCTCTAACTTGGGGGATATGAAACAAGTTGGTCATTTAAATTTTAGGTATGGTAAAAAGAGTCTGTTTAAATGATAATTATACTTATAATTCAAACATAATAAAAACTAAATGCTTAAATGATATTTCTTTTTGTTCAGATATATGTTCATTGTTTGTAGGCAATTGATTTCTGCTAGAAACTCAACACACATTTCTCTTATTTTTCCTTAATTAGATATGTAGTAACATGAGTGATTTAAATATCATTTTTCTATCCCTTTAGAAGGTTATACAAAATATGTTGTCAGAATCACTTGGTCTCTCTGGGTATCCAACTAGCTTGATTTCTTTGGCCTTAAAATTCTTTATCCACACTATCATTGTTTTGAAACGTTTTTAATTCCTCATTTTCTAAGTTATCTTTAAACTCTTCATGTTTTAATATATAAAATGGTCTTAAATGCACCTTTTAATGATATAGGCTGGAGTAACTTGCTGCATGTGAAGTATTGTGATATGCAAATATAAATTCTTTGAAATTGAATTCTTTTGCATTTAATTTATAAGCAATTTTACTAATCTGTCTAATTCTCGATTGCAACATGGATGATAAGGCACTATTCAGTGGTGTATTGTATCTTTTGTACTAATTTAAAAATTTTCTTTGAGCATCAAAACATACACCTCTTGTCCCAGGAATTTATTAGACTTCACTACATATCTGGCCCATTTCTTTCTTCTTTTAATGAATTCAGCATTAACAATGTCTTTCCTCGCAAGAATCTTTCCGTCGGAGACTCATCTTTATTTCTGCTATTATTGTAGAACAATTGCGATTATTTCACCATCACCATATAATCCATACAGATTAGTGGAACAGGAAATAACAAGTATAGATGACTGAATCATAGTACCACGAAGATTGAGGGATAAAGTAGTCAGAATGCTGCATGCAGGACATCAAGGGGTAAGTAGAATAAAACAATGGGCTATGAAGCCTACAATATACTATTCTGCTCTCCGCTTTAACCTTGTATTTTGTACTGCCAATTATTTCTTCCACCTTTCCAATCGTCCATCTGAATTTTCCTTAACATCAAAACATACACCTCTTGCCCCTGGAAAAATTTATTAGACTTCGCTGTGTAGTCCTGTCATTTCCTCCCACTTTAACCGAATCCAGATTAACAACGTCTTTCCCAAGAATCTTTCTGCTGAAGATTCATCTTCTTTCCTTCCATTTTTGTAGAATAATTGAGATAACCATCCTTCACCATCGCTATACTTTTCTTTTTTAAGCACGATTTCACCACTGCAATTATTCTTTCGGCCTGACCATTGGCACTGGAATGGTTGGGAATCGTGATAACATGCTTGATACCGTGTATCTCACAAAATGCCTTAAACGCTATACTCCTCTCCACCATCAGTTACTATCATCTTTACCATTCCATACTTCCCTAAAAATTCCTTCAATCTTCGTATAACTATAACTGACGTTAATCCGACACCTTTGAGCCATTAATCCATTTGGAAAAAGTATTCACTATAAGAAAATAATACTTCTTCTCCCATTCAAAAAAATTCAAATTTATCTGATTACATGCCTGTGTAGTTTCCTTCCAGCTATTACCCTTCCTCCTTGATAGATTTGATCAAACATTACACGTTAAACACTCTCTGCACACCTTTCCAATATCTCCACCATACATTCTCTAGCCCATTGTTTTATTCTACTTACCCCTTGATGACCCGCATGCAGCATTCTGACTACTTTATCTCTCACTTTTTGCGGTACTATAATTCAGTCATCTATAATTGTTATTTCTTGTTCCACTAATCTGTATGGATTATATGTGAAATAATCTTAATTATTCTACAATAATATCAGAAATGAAGATGAGTCTCCGGCGGAAAGATTTTTGCGAGGAAAGACGTTATTAATGCTGGATTCGTTAAAAGAAGGATGAAATGAAAGAGCCGGATACGTAGTGAAGTCTAATAAATTCCTGGGCAAGAGGTGTATGTTTTGATGTTCAAAGAAAAACTCATATGGACTATTGGAAAGGTGGAAGAAATAATAGGCAGTACGAAATACAAGGTTAAAGCGGAGAGCGGAATAGTATATTGTAGGCATCAAGATCAATTGAGGCCTGGAGAGGAACGTTAAAGAAGGGGGAACAAAATCATGATTACAACATTCGCGTATCGCAGCTCCACATGCGGAAACCGCAGTTACTCCAGCATCATTATTATTAAAATAGGAGCCTTTACGACCAATTTCGAAATTAAAATATGAAGGGTTTCATGATGGAACTAAAAATGTTTCAAGATAATGATCCCGTATGTTGAGAGAATTTTCGAGACCATGAAAATCAACCTAGATGAATACCCGGAGAAATAAAAGATCGAATGCGTCCGACCACATATTTTATAAAACTTCCTAAAGGGATAAAGACATTTAAATTATTTACCAAATCGTTTTACCACGAGGAAAATACAAATAACCGGGAAAGAATGAGGTAAAGGTTTGTTACGCTTCCAGCTAAAAATCAATTGCCTACAATCATTGAACATTAATCTGAACTTAAAAGAAAGTTTCTTCACCCGATATTATTATCAGGATTAAAAATTATGAATATTGGCTATATAAGAAGCTATAAATTACAATTAGAAAAAAAACTAATTTCAAATAAATGTTTTAATTCAACTATTATCAGAGACCTTGGAGGTACCATTTGCTCGACCCGGGTTTTATATTTTCAGGCCCGGCTCGGATATTTTTTAGAATACATTACATTTATTTTTAATTTTTATGTCTAATAATGACCATTTAAAATATACGGCTCGGCCAGGGTATTTTTTTCAAAAAAAAATAAAATGCTGCCTTGGCCTGCAGGTCTCTGGTTATTATTGCTATTTATTATTTGATAATATCAAAATATAAGTCGAGGTAAAAATAAAAACTTTATAAGTTACTTTTTTTTCAAAATGCTCCATTTTTATTTATGAGAATTATATAATTATAGTCGCGAACTTTGCTTAATTCTAATTTAATCATAGAATTAATAATTTAGCCGGATGAAAAATTATGCCAATATTAAACTGGTAAATTTTTTTATCAACTTTCTTTCTTTCTTTCTTTGGAAAAAGATGCTAGAAGATAAAGGAATAAGATATCAGAAAAAAATTATTTAGTGTATATTTACCCCCCCCCCCATCCTTTTGAAAAATTATCCAAAAATTTAGATAGTACCTGAAAATTTCAGCAGATAGCCTTAAAATAGTGATAAAAAAATTGCCCTCCAATTCTAGACCAATACACGTGAAGATTTTTAAGATACAATGTTTAATAATACAAGTTTTAATTAGAATTTTCGAAAATGTTTCATGATGCAGAATATGCAAATAATATTTTTTTTTAAATTATTAATATACGTTTTTGCTTCCCAAATACAACAAAAAAAGTGTTTATATCTTAAAAATATATTTATAATGATATATTAAACTTTGCAAAAATATTAATTAAAATGGGAGGCTATACTGGGAAATAATAAATATTTTTTAAATCTCAAGGAGTGCGGATAAAGGGTAATGATGTATAGCATTTATTAAAATCAGAGACCTGTAGGCCCGGGTACACATGCCGGGCCGTATTTTTTAAATCCCTATTCTCTTTAAAAAAAATATATATTTAAAAATTGTGAATAGAACATTTATGGCATTCATTCACCTATTTTATTTCCTATTTCTATTTTTTCCCTTGGAAAATATTTCTAGTAAAATATTATTTAACTTATTATTATTTTGGTTGATATTCAATCAAATTAAAAGCAACAAAAGCTACGCTCAATATTTAAAATATAAGGTGCTTTTTTAAAAGAAAAGTTTATTTTAGATAAGTATCAATTTATCTTTCCTTTTCTCTGTCCCAAGGCAATCATGTATGTTGCCCAAAATGGCTGAAACATATTATTTAAAAAAAAACTATATTAAGGAACAGGATAAGGGAATTATCATCGACCAGTCGAATTGAAAGTATAGTTATTCAAACTAACTCCTTTTACCACAAATGGTGATAATTTCAAAAGTTATTATATATCCATTTCATATTAGCTGAAAAACTATCCGTAAAATGCCTAATAGGTATATTTTAATATTAAAAAACCATGGCCATAGGAAAAAATTTACACACCCCGACCGAAGGCGTTTTTAAAATCCGGGCAAAGCTGGAAATGGTGGGCCTCTGACTAAAATATAAGATAGCATCGCAAATTATCATTATATAAAAACAAATATTTCAAATAATATCTGTAGCCTAGTAGATGATTGCAGGTATCCTGCAGCTTAGATTCTAGTTAGAATCCATGGAAGATCAGGTATTTAGCTAACTAGGTAGTTGTGTTTTATGGGGTACGATATATAGCGGATCGGAAGCTACCGTTAACATTTTAATAAAATTTGGTCGTTATTTAGAAAATGTGATGACCAATGTTATATATAATATTATTACCCACTAATAAACCCCCCTAACCTCTCACGAGCTAATTTATTGGGCAGAAATTGGCAAGCCATAATTTAAAATAAAATGATACCCCCCTCCCCCCATCTCCCATCCTTCTAGTAAAAAAAGGCGTCCTTATAACTGATTTTTTGTATTAATACTTTTATATTATTATAAATTTTATTAATATATATATAATTTTATCGATAAATCGATTTTAGGCTATGAGTAAAGATCCTCAAAACATGTATCAATTGACGCCAAAGCAAATCAAAAAATCTATAGCAAAATATATTTCATATATAAATCATGTAGATATAGCAACGATATGTAAATAATATTTACAAATAATTTTCATATATATATATATAATAAATTCATTGCTCACTTCATTGATTTTTTTAAAATAGTTATTATATTAATAATAAAATAAGTCCAATTATTTTTTATAATAGAGAGAGAAACTACAAAAATATATAACATAAATTAAATAGTATAATAGTGCAATTCATTGAATCGTGTTGATAAACCCCTCGATTTTTTTTTAAACGACTAACCCAATATTTTGGTCCCAAAAATATTTCGCAAGCCTGGAAATTTTTGCTCATAAATGGCAGAAAGGTGTGGACATTTATTAACGAAATATCTAAACTTGCGTAATATTATTTTGGCTAGAATCTTCATTTAGAATTGGATAAATCGAGCCGTTTAATTACGCTAGCAATTCATGAGGCCATTTTCAAGCAGAACCTTTTATGAAAAAAAATATGTATGATAATAGTTTCGATTAGACAGTTTTTTTATAAGGCGCCTGGGAAACGGAAAAAAGAAATTAATATCCAAGTTAAACTCACTTCACAAATCCTATAGTTCCCCAGAGGATTTTTTTTCTTCGAAGATCCGAGTCCAAATTTTAGAAAAATACGTTTAGTTTTAGTTTTTTAATTAAAGTTGGGGGAGGGGGGTGAAGCTTATGAATAAAAATTCGGACCAGGCTAGAAAAAATTGCAGTTGCAAGGCTCTAATACTACTGTATTTGCTGTTACCAAAAGTGCGCTATCTTCATTTTTTTGTAAATTTCAGTTAGTAACAAATTATATATAAATTCTCCAAAATATCTATTTTTTAAAAAAATCTGAGAATCTCTGGTTGAATATTTGGGTAATATAAATCTGAAAAAAAGGGACATTTATAAAATTAATTCAGTTTTTAGTTAATATTACGTTAAAAAAATTTTAGATAACTTGTTATTTAAATATAAATATATCATTTCAAAACTATTCTATCGAAAAATTTTTTATTGACCCCGGTCTGGATTTTACATTTGAAAACTATTCTATCGAAAAAAATTTTGTAGACCCCGGGCAAAAGATTTTTTTTACAAATCTAATCTGTGCAATTCGTACCTCTTTAGGTCTCTTATAATTATAATCTTAAAAATTATTCTTTGGCTTAAATTTGAATTTTAAATAGGAATCAAATAAATATAGTGAAAAAAGTGAACACTGTTCTAAATGGCCATTTTTAAAAAAAAAATTTGGTATATTTGTGATAGCGCAAAAGGTGACCAGTGCCGCCCTAAGGTCATTTTTTTTAAAAAGATTTAATTTTTACCTAAAATATTATTAATTGAATTAAATTGAATAAATATTTGTGTAAAGGGTTACCGATTGTTATTAAAAATTTAGATTTTTGGCGTAGTATCCTAAATAGTTGGTTCAAATTTCTTAAATATTTTAAATTTTAGGACTGTTATGATAAACGTAGTGTAATTTTTTTGAAAATTCAATATAGCTTATATATGAAATTTATAGTTATATAAAATGTATCAAAGAATATACAATTTGCAGTTAACTCGGTATAATGGTTATTTACAATACCTGAACTACTTTAAATTTTATGGCTCTAATCTGAACCAAACCTATGTATCGGTAAACCGGTAATCTAAGAATATTCCTGTTAATTATCAATTTCGATTGAAAGATTTTAATCATATTTATTTGTGTATATTATTTGACGGTGCCAGTTACAAAAATTTGCGTTAAAAAATGTTCTCGACCAGAATTACTAAAGTATCTACTTACAAAAATGTGGTATCTATATCTAGATGCACTTTTATAAAAAGCATCTACTAGATACTATTTTAGGAGTATCTGTATCTATTCTTAGACACATTTAAATATCATTTTATTTCGTTTTTATATTTAAAAATAATATTTGAATTAATTCATTTAATGATATCTCCATGTTTTTTCATTATAAAAGAAACCAAACGTTGAAATATTTTATTATAAAAAAAATATACCATAATTTTTAGATCAATATTTCTAGACAATAAATCAAATAATTTTTATAATATATTTTTTTGGGCATCCTAAGATGATATGAATAATATTAATATAAGTTTTGACACTCATCAGATTTTGAAGAAGTATTGGGATTTTAATATATTATGATTATGCCAATAAAAAGTTAATCATAAAATATAATTAACTATGACGTAAAATTTCCTAGTAAAAATATCAGTGTGCTTAAAAATCTCTTTAAGGATAAACGGAGGTGCCATAATGATTAAAATTGAAGAATGTTTATAACTAAAATCTAGTTATTATTTATAAATGTAATTATTTGGATTATTAAAATCTAATAATTTTTATTTAAATTATATATTTGTATCCAGATATGACATAAGATAAAAAAAAATTTAACTCACTTCAAAATTTGAATTTTAGCAATAGAATCATATATTAGGTATTATGCACACCGTATATAGGTATTATAATATCTAGATGCATTTGTAGAAATGTATCTCTATCTTGCTACGTTTTCAGACTATGTATCTATGTCAATTTTCTTATGCTGTTTCTATATCTAAATCCATCTAAAAAATATCTGTTAATAACTGTTTCTTTTTTCTATTATGTAATTCATATAAATTAGGAATCTGTTATTTTTATATTATTTAACGAAGGGATATTTTTAAATTTGGAAAATATTTGACCGGAAATGTATCCATGTGTGGAATACCTTCCCTATAAATTTTTGTATAGACTTTAGGTATTTTTTCAATTTATATTATAAATTAAGAGTACTTAAAAAGTTCTGAGCAAAATTGCCTGTAATTCAGAGTGTTCTATATATGTTAGAAATTAGAATACATATCCGGTCAAATAAGTTATTTAGAATTTATAAATTCCTCTCAGTAAATGATTTGAAATTTATATATCACACGTAGCGGAACTATTGAAATTACTTGAAAAAATAAAGGCGATGAAATAAGAAGCCCTTACATCCAGAACCAAGGAATTTTATATTTTTAAAAACAAAAATATTCATAATTTTAAAATAAAATTATTCTTCTTATTTGGGAGGAAACTTGTAGTCTCATTTCCTTTTTTGTAGAATGAGCACATTTTTTATTAAGTTTAAAAAGTTTTCGTGTATAAATTATGTATGTCGTATTGGAATATGGAATCCATGGGAATTCGGAATATCTCGATTTTAAGTCATCGAGGGCAATTTTTAAATTCTTGATTTAAGCGGAAATGTATTTCAGCATGTGTGAAATATCTATCCTATTAATTTTAGACAATTTTTGCCATAAAATATTCTTTGTTAATTTATATGAAAGATTAATATAAATTACGACTATTTCAAAGGTTCATGGTAAAATTGTCTGAAATTCAGTGAGTACCTTATATATGCTGAAATACTTTTCCTACCAAATCAGATTTTTGAAATTTAATAATCTACATCAGTAAAATTATTTATAATTGAGAGATTAATTATCCCCATGGATTCCGCGTCCCAATATAATATATATATGCCGTCGTATTGGGATATGAAATCCATGTAAATTTCTCATTTTAATATTAATTTAACTGCGAGATTTTAGAATTGAATAATTGATTTAATCGGAAATAACACGTGTATAAAACTAACCTTCAAAATTTCACATAATTTTCATCATAAACCTACACGTATTTTTCTTAAAAATATATGGAAAAATCTATAAATTATTATGATCCGTTGAAAAGTTCACTGCAAAATTGTTCGTTGTTAAATATTTAAAATGGTGCATCTTTACAGACATAATTCTCTATCAGTTTATTTGCGAAAGATTTGTAATCGAGTTTTTAAAGTTTGGAACCGAACCATCATTTTATGAATGTATTCCAAACCTTTACAACCGATATTCGTTAGTCCTCAAAATAGTTTTAAAAAAATAATTTACTAATTTAAAATTGGAATCAACATTTAAAGAAAAATTAAAAATAGTTAATAAATTATTGTATGACAATTAATGTTTATATTCTAGTTTTATATTCTAGAAGTATGTTTTAAAAAAATTTTAATAGATTTTTTCCAACATCAACACCAAATTTAATAAATTATTAAACCCAAGCAATGTAAATGAAATTAGGAAATATATCTTCAACCAAAACATTTATATTTATCATTAAAATATTCAAAAATTAAAATCAATTCCTATTTAAAAATTAATCAAAAATAGGCTTTTTGGATTTTGGATACTATATAATATATATATTAAATTCTTATCTAATTTAAGACAAAAATGATTTTTAAATATTTGCATTATGGCATAATTCACATTTTAGTCACCATACAAAACATTGATCATATTACATATTTATTCAAATTTTATTAATTTACAATGTTTACAATTATTTTAGAATGAATAAATAGGAGATCGACCACCATTTGCAGCATATTTATTCCTTTTGCATTTAAAATTTATATTTAAGCCAAAAAAATTCTTAAAAACCATAAGCCATCTTTCAAATTTACTAAATAATTATATTATATAAACTTATTTTTGGTTAATTATCACTTGCCAAAATTTAATTAAACTACTAAATTGAAAAAAAGGTTTTGTAGATGTGTACCTTCTTTTTGACAAATGTTACACCATCCATGTTAGTGATCAGCAGGCCTAATTTCCCGTTCCCAAACAAAACCATTTGTCTCAAAATAAAAATAATTTGAATTCCTGAAAGCCAAAATTTATTTAAATAAATTTAATTATTTTATTGTAAAATAAAATATTAGCACCTTGTTTCTTTGCAAGAAAAAAATATATGTATTTATTAGACAAATTGTAATATATTTAAAAATTTATGCCTATCTAAAAAAAAATTTAAAAAATATTAAGCTCAACTCATCTCAAAAGGAATTTGTTTAAAAATCGACAAAAAACCTATTCAGCTCTATAAGAATAAAGATAAAGGTCATTTAGATTAAAGCAATAATAGGGTATGTTATTTGATAGTCATAAATATGAATTTACTATGTAAAGTTATCATAAGAATTTTAATTCTTCAAGTTCAACTATTAAATTTTAAAACTCAAATTTAGCAATCTTATTATTTCTAAGTACAAATTTTGATAAGAGGACCAAAACTTTAATAAGAAAAATATATTATATAAGAAACAGGATAATTTGTATGAATTGAAAATATATTCAGGACAAATATATATGTTTTATGTGCCTACCAAATATTTATAAAATGAATCAAAAATATAGGTAATTATAGATAATTAAAAAAATAGATATATAAAATATGCTAATAAATGTTTCATGTGTATATAAACGATTATACATATATAAAGATTTGCTCAAAGTCAATAACATTTTTTACAATTTATTTCGTTGGGTTGCGTGCAAGGTTGGTAAAGGAGTAAGTTAATACTGAATTTTTATCATGAGAACAAATTCCCAATATCTTCAAAAAGATTTCAGCATTCAGAGGAGTTAAGGATTGGGAATACCAAGTGGCAATTATTTTAAAATAATATAAATTTAAAACTCTTAAACTTATATACATCTTACAATTCTGTATTGGAGTAAAAAAAAAACAAAATTATCACAAATAAAGGTTCTTGTATTTACAATATTTTGATTAACAAGTTAGAATGAGGGCTAATTAGAGGTTACAACAAAACGCAAGGTATCAGACTTAAACATTGGACAATACACCAGGGCACCTTTCAGTATCAATAAAATCGCTAGATCAAAGAATATTATAAGAGACATAAAACAATGAATGTATTTTTTTAATCTAAGGGGTAATTGAAAATGGTATCATGTGAGTAAACTATAAATTTGGGTTATTATGAAAGTTTAAAAAGGATTTTCAATAAAAAGGTGTTAATAATAAAAATGTATATTGTTTCTCTTTATTAAGAAGTTAATCAGAATTGGAACCATTTCCGTCTCTGTAACCACCTCTGCTACGGCCACCTATACAAAATAAAAATATAGATTAATATAAAAACCATATGTATAGGATTTTTGTTTAGATATTAATAACAAAGACATATTATAATCTGTTTTAAAATCATGACTAATTAATTTTTTAGTACCTCCACCACGGCCTCCACCACCTCCTCCTCCACCACCCCCACTGTTATTCTTTGACTTTGAAACAGATATTGGTTTTCCATGAAGAGAATAATCCTGCTTCTCATTCAAGTCACTCTCCATCTTTTCTTCATCTTCATATTCTATAAAGGCGTATCTATCATAATACAAGTTAGAATATAACATTTTCTAAATCCCAAAATTGATATTTAATAATTGTTGAACTGTTTATTTACCCCTTAAAATTATTGGGAACCCTCCAATTAACAGCATCAGGGAAAATTTCCTTGAGCATTTCAGTGTCAGTATCATCAGGCAAGTTGGCAACAAATAGGGTTGGTTTTCCATTGTTGAAGACACGATTGGAGTTATAATTACGATCACGATCTGTTTTATTAGTATAATAAAAGTTGGAATATTTGTAGAGGAAATAAAAGGCCTGATTAAGGAAAGCATGAAAGCTAAAATAGAGGTAAATATTATATTTATTATACTAATACAAGAATGACACAAAATACTAGTATGAAATTATATGTAAAAATATAACTATAAACTCAAGTAAGTATCAATTGAAAGTATTATATTTTAATTATTATGTAATTTAATTGTTGTATTAGTGAAAATAATTCATTTAAATTTTCTATTGCAACCAGTACCTTATTTATATAATAACATGATACACAAACAGTAATAATATATCATTACCTCTATCATTACCACCTCGATATCCACCACCACCACCTCCTCTTCCCCCATATCCTCCATCTCTTCCACCTCCATCCCTACCACCACCATTGTTTTCTCTGCTTCTACATTGGCTAGCCATATGTCCTTCTCTTCCACAGTTATAACATTCTAGAAAAAATTTTAATAAAATAAAAATGGTAAATTGAAATTTGTTAGACCCAAGTCTGGAATTAAAGTATTAAGAAAAATATTTATTGTCAAGGATAAGAAAAAATTTTGGCCAGCCTGGATTGGGTGTTTGTTTTTAAGGACAAAATATGCACAATTCCATATATAAAAACATTAGAAACAATCAGTTCTAACTAGTTACCAAGCTTTAGTCATATTAGTCTGTTCTAAAGGGTAGTTTTTATACTTGCAATAAGAAATAATGGTGGGGAGTTTAAAAAATTTACTCACATATGACTGAAATTATTTTCATATACAAAATTTAATTATTTGAACCGTTTAGAATGCTTAAATATGTAGAAACTGATTATAAAATTTAAAGACAGCCTAAGATAAATTATAAGTTTGGTCAAAATGAAAATAAGATATATTAATTATTGCATAGAATAATATAGATATTTTTAAATACTTCTGCTTCCACCGCCACCTCCACCACCTCGATCTCCACCATAATTACTTCTATATCTTGGTGCATCTCCGTCATCATTATTTCTAGGGTTTGATCTACAATTTTTAGCTATATGTCCTTCTTCACCACAACTAAAGCATCCTAAATAATATTTTTGGTAAAAATAGTTACAAAATATAATGATAAATAAATAATATTAATCTTATGCAAAATAAAATAATCTAAAATTTATATTTACGAAACATTACATCTTTAATTTCAAAATATTAATTAACCTGTTTTACGATCATTATTATAAGACATCGTCTATTTCTATCTCTCAATATTTTTCTTCAAAGAGTATCTTCCAAAAATTCTACAATCAATTGAGGATATAGATTGCGTTTGTGTAACAAAAATAAATAAATGGCGCTTATATCTTTATTAATTGGTTTTATATTCGATTTATTTATTCACAATTTTGAATTAATTTTTAAAATCATCAATCATATCTAGTGTATAATTATTAATTATAATTTTATATATTAAAATTAAATGTTAAAATATTAATTTAATAAACTATTATTTGATGTTTTAGTATAATATTATTAATAAACCCCTAATATAATATAAACTTATATAAAATATGGGCTAATTTATAAAACTAAAATGTATAGATATTTTATAAATTGCATATTATTTAAAATAACTCTCTGAATTTTTATGGTTATTTTACTCAATAATTTCTTATAAAAAAATGTTTAAATATATTTCAATATAGGTTTATATTTTCTTAAAATCTATAGATATTGTAGCAACTAAATATTAGCTTTTGCCACGAATTTTATCATTATTTATTTTAATAGAATCAAATATATTATATGATCCATTTAGTAGTTGTTTAATACTCAAATACGGTAGAATAACATATTATTTTTAAAGTATTGTAAGATTCAATGTTACGAGTTCAATTTTATTTAATTTAGAATAAATCAAAGTTAGGAGTTTAATTTTATTTAATTTATTTTAAAATTTTACATATGTTTTAAAAACAAAATATCATCCTTATATAACAATTTACATATCAATATAATAATTTATATAAAAAAATCAATCTTCACAATTTATAAAAAAAAATCAATTTATATAAACATTAAAAAAAACAATTTAAAGGTTAGTATTAATCGGTCATATCAACATTCCACTCTTCAAAAAATGATCTCCACTCAGGTTTTTCTTGCATGTGAATCTTATCATGCAGTCAACGTTTCTTGGTGGTTATATTGTCATCATTAGTATATTTCATAAACTTTTGCTATTGAAAGTTTATTTAAAAGAAAAATATTTTATTATATATATTTTTTTTAGTCTTTATTTCATTATAAAATTATCGAATTTTTTGGGCAAAATTATATTCCTGCTTGGTCTTTGACTAACAAGACTCTGTTCTTGTACTCCTAAATTTTGATCATCCTTTCTTCTAAAACTTACAGTAACAGGTATTGCATTTTCAGTATTTGTTTTCAAATATGTCGCTTCCCAAGAGGTGTGATACTCGTAGACCTTTTTTAATTTGTCTAAATGTCTTCTAATAATTTTGTATCCTGTACCCACTTCAAATATTAAATTCCCATTTTTACGTTTTACCATGCCTTTGTCCCATATATTATCCTTGAAGGTTTTATACCAAACTTTGTCACCATTTATGATATTTCTATTTGACGATAAATTGCGATTCATTCACTTTATCTTCTAGCGGTTTGATAAAATCCCATCTGGTTCTTATGGTTCTGTTGAACATCACTTCGCTTGGTATCTTGTTGGTTGTCGCGTTTGGTGTGTTGCGATAATTAAATAAAAACTTTTCTAAATCTATATCTAAGTTTATTTTATTATTATTTTCCGGTGAAAATGTGATCAATTCCATGATCACTATAAAAAATTTTGAACAGGCTACTTGTAAAATTCGTACCATTATCGCTGATTATCATATCGGGTATACCAAACAAACTTTTTTAATAATTCTATTGTAGACTCAGTCTTTCATTCTTCTGATTATAGGAAACTTGCTAAGTGCGTCAACACATAACAAGAAATTTCTACCTTCAAACTGTGCAAAGTCGATGTGCACGGGTTCGAACACTTTTACACTGTTTCCCATGGATTTTGTACATTATGAGGATTGTCCGCACATTTATTACATGTATCACAGTTTCTCACCTCAATTTCAGCGTTTAGACCAGGCCACCACAAATAATCTCTCGCCAACAATTTCGTTTTCCCAGCACCAAGATGCCCTTTGTGTAATTCCTGTAATATCTCGTTTCTCATATTTTTCTGTATAATGATTCTATTCTCTTTAAAAAGACAATCTTTAATTAAGCTCAGTTTCATTTCCATATTTTTATATATTTTATTCTTTATCTGTTCATGATTCTTTATATTGTTAATTGCCTCCATTAATTCGATATCAACACTAGTTTCTTGAACTTTTCTTTTAAAATTTATTGGTAAGTCCCAAAATTTGTTATCAATTTTTTTATCATCTATCTCTTGTACCATTTCTTCTGTGTTCATTTGGGGTAATCTTGACAAACAATCCGGTACTACATTTCGTTTCCCGGGTCTTTGAATTATCGTAAAATCATAAGCTCCCATAACCAAACTCCATTTTTGAAGTCGCATTGATATGGATGAATTATCCTTGAGTCCCTTCGTAAATTTATAAACGAGTGGCTTGTGATCTGTGATTATTGTAAATCTCGTACCAATTAAATATTCTAGAAACTTTTTTACCGCGTATATAACAGATATAGCTTCCCTCTCTAAGTGTAATTAAACTCTGATTTTAATAAACCGCGAAAGCAAAGGGTTTCTTTTTGCTATCACCTTCAATATGAAATAAGACTGTGTCTAGACCTTTCTTTGAAGCATCAGTTGCAATGCCTATTGGTAGATCTGGATTATAAAAAATTTAACGTAGGCGGAGTACTTATCAGTTTTTTTTAGGTCTTCGAAGCTTTCTTGATGTGTACTATCCCATAACCATTTGTCTTTATTAACCATTTTGTATAAAGGATCAGCTATGTCCGCAAAATTACATAAAAATTTAGCTCGCCATCCCCCAAAAAAGTTGCCAATTCATCTTTTGTCTTCGGTTCCGGTATGTTAGAAATAGCTTTTATCTTATCATCTTTGGAATGTATACCATGTTTGTCTATATCATGTCCCAAAAAGCGTATTTTATCTTGCAGGAATAAACTTTTGTCGAAATTGGGGGTTAATCCATATTTGATGTTTTCGAATACTTTATGTTCTCCAAATGTATCTCATCGTTATCACCTGTAATTAACAAGTCGTGCATGTATAATATAACATCTTTTAAATCTCCGAAAATGTTATCCATAGTTTGTTGGAATATTGCCGACGAAGTTTTCAAACCAAACGGCAGTCTCGTAAGCCTATAATAGCCCTTATGTGTCGGTATCGTAAGAAAATATCTTGATTCTTTGTGTATATGTATTTGGAAAAACGCGTTTTTAAAATCTATCTTGGTAAATTTTTTATCTTTAGATAATTTTGCGATTAAATCATTAATGCGTGGAATAGGGTACTTGAAATCTTGTAAAGCAGGGTTTATAGTATTTTTGAAGTCGGCACAGAGCCGAAGTGTGCCATCGCTCTTATAGTGAGAGGACTAGCCCATCTAACATCCTTAACAGGTTTTATCGTATATCCACTTTTGAAGTTCTTTTGTTATCAAATCAATTCTAGAATATGGTATACGCCTTGGGGGTATGATTTTCGATGTGGCATCGTGTTTTAAACGTAATTTGACATAGCTGCGAAGCATTGGTTTTTGTTAAGTTTAAAATTGCATTGCTTAATTAATTATTGTATAGTATTATCATAATCATCCTCGACCATATTCACAAATTTATCTAGTATAGTCCCAAAAACTGTTATCCAGGTCCTTCCTAACAGTGCAATCTTATCACTCTGGACTACATATGCAGTTAGGATTTGACTTTTGTCCTCGAATTTTGCCTTGACTTTGGTAGTTTAATATATTTATTGTGTTTCCATCATATCTAGTTAATTTAATATCTGATTTATTTAAGATTTTTACTCCAATCTTTTTCGCGATATGAATCAGTAGGATACTATACCTTGAGCCGGTATCAATCTGCATCAAAATAGGCATGTCGTTTAAATATACTGTAACCTTATATGCATCGTTAGCTGTGTAATTATTACCGGTATTCATATTGTTTATGTCTAAATTGTATAAATTATATTCTTTTCTTTCTAGTTTGTCATTATCATCTTCTTTTATCTATTCTATAATTACAGTGTTTACCTTATTTGTATATCGTGATTGATTATTTTGTTGTTATGATATTTACAATTGCATACTTGATTTCTTCCTTGATTTCCAATATTATGATTATCGTTATGTCTCTGAATAATCTTGAATTGTTATAATGTCTGTTATATCTGTAATTATAATCATTATTAAACCTATAATTATTATAGTTATTGTTATTATAACTAGCTCTATTATCAAATCTCGAAGAATTATTGTACGATCCTGGATAGTTTGCTCTGACGTTGTTGTAATAATTCGCGTTATAATTCTGATATCGAGGGTTGTAATTATCGTTGGTTGTAATTATTTCCTTGATAATTATTTCTTTGAAGATCATGGCCTCTTGTTGTCCATCGTTGTCTGTTATCGTAATTAGATTGTAAATTTTGTCGTTCGTCATGGTCTCCATATCTCACCAACTGTTTATTTTCTTCTGTTTTCCTGCCTCTATGCCTTTCTACATGTTTCACGGTTGTATCATCTTCTGTTTTTTCGTTTAAAATATTTTCAACTTTAGCAATTATATTTACTTTTAATTCTAACTCTTCAAAATCATCTCTTAAATTAAGAACTTCTGCTAATGTAATGTTTTATTTTAACGTAATTTTCTGCTTAATATTTTTGCTGATTGATAAAATTTTTACTTTTTTAATAACTCTACTATCACTTAGCAATTATTCATTTTTTAAAATGCATAATCTACTTACCCAATTGATGTAACTTTCGTTTTTACCTTGTACAGCTGCGTTAAATAATAGTAAGTTGGAACTTGTAGATTTCCTCGGGTGTAATAACCTGAAATTTTCAATCGTTATCGATGGATTTATGAAGTTGGTAGGTGAACATATTGATTTGAGCTTGATATATACCTCATCTGGTAGTCTTCTTGTAAAGGAACCTGCCTTTTCGATGTCCGAGATCTGAGTGTCCTTGAAGATGTCTTCGAATCTACTCACAAAAAGATCGCCATTGCCTGAGTATATTGGAAATTCAATATTTATATTAACATTATTATTAAGAATCTGTTTCATATTTATTTATTTATTTACGATTTCCTCGAATATGTAG